CTTGCAGCAATCTAATAAGTTGATATGAAATCATGATCCAAAATGAGAGTTTAATGTGAAGTCGGCCTACAATAGTTCCTTAAGGATAGTGCAAATTTCTAGTAGCATTCTTGAAAGTAGCACAAGCAAAAATAAGTTGACAAGAATGTGGCAGGTAACTTGGCTCTTAAAATAAAGCAGAAACTGAGACACTTCATGTGGAGAATAATGAGCAATGCAATTTCAACAGCCAGGAATCTATGGTTTAGAAAATCTCAATCTCATCAACTCTATGAGTTGTGTGGGGAGGCTTTTGAAACAAAGGAACATGTTTTCTTCTCTTGTGAGAGAGCCTCTTTGGTCTAGAAGTTAGCACCAGTCAGTTGGGATAGTTGAAGTTTTGTTGAGGCTTGCTTCAAAAGTTGGTGGTGCAGGATTTGTGAAAGAAGAACCACCAATACTTATACACAAAGGCAACAGTTGACTGTGTATTTGTTGTGGTGGCCATGGAAAGGCTAACATGTGTGGATCTTTGAAAGAAGATGGCCCACTCCTATGGATAGAGTGAATGGAGTTGTTCATGATTAGTTGGAATTGTTAGAGGTGTCTTAGATTCGTCATTTTCAGCTTTTCTTCCTTTGTTTTGATTAACAGAAGAATAGCTTAGGGACTTGTTTTAAGCTTCCATTAGGCTTTGTTGTCTGTGGTTTTTCTGTGTGCAGTGGTGCTGTTAGTTTTTGGTATTCTGGGTTATGTCTGAGGCAGTTTACAGCCTTCGTTTGNTCTAAGTGTTTGGGTGGGTTTTTGGTTTGAGAAAATTAATCCTAGGTTGAGATCTTCATAAAATATTTGCAAATTTATTGTTATAATATTTTATTAGCAAATTTAAATCAACTACACAAAGTAATTGCACCCATACGAGATTTTTGTAATTTTATATTTCCTTTTTACAATTTTTTTTAAAAGGTAAGTGGTGGTTTAATGGAGTAACTGTCGGATATTATGGGGATGTGGGTTATCATTTTACAGTCAACTTTTTCCTCTCGCCTATCACGTCATTCTTCTCTCCCCTTTCAATTTTTTTCTCATCCCTCACGCCATGGCGAAAATTGACCAAATCTCCACAGTCGGAGACATCCATCATCACGGCGCAGAGGAGAAGCCCGACAATCGAGATCCAGTTATCACCTCCACAACCTTAAAACTAAAGCTGAACGCAAGCTTGAGCAGAAGAAGATTCAATTCTAAAATAAATCCCGTAGCAGAGGTGGCCAAGAATCCACCGGCGACGTCGGTGAACCTCCACCAAAAAAGAAGCGAACAAGGCGGAAGACAAAGTCAACCACTTTCGCAAAAGGAGACACCGAACAAGATTCGGATTTCGTTGAAGACGACGAAATCGACATGGAGGAGTTGAGTCTCAACAAGGGCATCGTTGAAAGTGAGGAAGAAACTAAAAAAATCCAAAAGAAAAGAAGGAATGCCAAACCCAACAACTCTTTTATGTATATAATGTGTTTCGAGTATATCTTTTATATATAATGACTAGATTGGTTTATCTTTTGTATATCTTATGTATGTAGTCTGTATATAATGACTATATCTTATTTATACAATCCAAAAAAGAAGGTATTACTAGATTGGTTTATATTTCATATATCTTTTATATATAATGCTTTTTCAACCATTTCCTCAGCTGTTGTAAGCGCGGAATCTACAAAGTTCATACACCCATTTGACAACTCTTTGATGTTATTATCCAGGTCCTCAAACGTCACTGGAGTTACAGCCCAAATAATATAGTGAAATTTACACCATGTACCAGACATATAAGTTTTTATTACATAAATGAAACTAAGTCATAAATATTAGCAATTCAACCAGCTCGGCGCTTTTTGTTTGCAAATCTACCAGATGTCAATAAATTCATTAATTTACATGTGTAATCAATTTTTAGAGTAATTAATGAAAAATTTATCACCTTCCCAAAAATTGCTCCCTAGGTATTTGGTAAGAAAATTATCTCCCCACATCTTGTAACCGCCCACGTCCAACCAGTCAACACAATTTCATCCCAAATCCCTTCCACGATCCACCAAACTGCAAACCCTAATCCTATACACTCAAACATGTCGGATCAATATCAGAATGGGTGGTGAAGCCCGTGGCACCATGATTGAGCCTTGCCACGTAATTCAACAACGATTTGGCATTCATGAAGTCTAATGTACCCCTCGGAGGGACAGGCAATTGCATACCGCCGCCGACTCCCGCGGTGTGGAATGGAACCCTAGTCGACGGGGCCACGACGGCGGTTTTGATGTCGGGATTACCAATCACCATGGTTGTTTTTTTTTTTTTCGAAAAACGATAGGGAAATGTCTCAAGTCTCGATTCGGGGACTATGGTGTGAGACTTTTTGACAAGGTTTTCAGCCGAGTGTCTCTAGAAGTTCACGCACATCTTCGCCCAATTTGATTCAATCGCTGGACTTCAAAAAATATTTGGGTTCTCACCAGCGAGTAAAACGAGGATGTCCTGCTAGATTTGTGAATATTTTGATTCATGTGATTGCTGTAAGATTGAATCAGGGGTTTGACTGTATTTTGATACGATTTATTTGATTCGCACATGTACAATTTTTTTTTCATTGTTTTGATTATATTTTAGTTTATGTTCAATATATGTATGATTAATGATTGATGATGTATCAACTTTTTTGAGATATTTTTGTCCTTTAATTTATTATGTTGTGGGATATGTTGCGTTTATATACAGTATATTTTTCTTTATATGTTCCCGTAATCACAATCGGCAGTATATGTTGCATGTATAGACTATATATGTTCGTATATGTCTTTGTTACCCGTGCTTTGTGTTTCTCATTTGGCTCGTGCTTCATTTGTTTATCATATATTCTACATATACTAAAATAATTTATTAAAATAATGATTATAATAAGTTTATGATATGTATATGATAGGTTATATACTGGATAAAAATTCAAATATCACAATTGTGTTTAGATAAAAACGATATGTAAATAAAAAATCAGGTTATATACTGAATATATACTAACAATAAATCGAAACTTTTGATTATGTTAAGTATATGTTATGTATATATACTGAATATATACTGATAAAAACGCAAATGGCAGATATATCGAAACTTTTGACTATGTTAAGTATATGTTATGTATATAACACAATTATGTTATGTATATGTGCATGAATGATATACTTATGTCCGTGAATGTAAATAACACAAAAAGTAAACAAAGAACAGAGTTTGGGAAAAAAAATACCGAGTTTATTTCGTATATATCACATTGAACCAGAAAATATCTAGTAAATATACAGAAAAAAAAAAATGATATGTTAATAACACGAAAGATATATATTTTGAATTAAGCCCGCGAATTAAGGAAGGATTATCTTTTTAATTTGGTAACTGATATGTTGATATTAATGCGATTATCTTTTTTAATTTGGTAACGGATATGTTGATATTAAGCCCGTTAATAACCAAAAGATGATAATAAGATAATCTCATTATGTCCGTGAATTAAGGAAAGTTTATCTTTTTAATTTCGTAACTGATATGTTGCATTATTACTAATAAATTCTATGCATTTGGTAATGATGCAATAAAAAATTATCCTCTCGTATGATTGCAATTAAGCTCAGTTCACTGTGTAAATATAAAATTTACCCAATAATATACGATACAACTCACGATAACTATAATTTGTGGAACCAAAATACCTGATAGCTGAAAATTTGTATATTGATTCTCGAACCATCCGCCACTATGATGAATGAAAACCAACAACAATAAACAAGATCACGTATATTTTCAATTTATAAATCATAGATAAATGTGTTCTTAGTCGTACCTCGGTGAAGCAACAGTTTAATCCAAATTTGATCTCAACTATTTTTGTTTTTCTTCTTCAACGAGAACCTTCAGCCTCTCAATTTCAAAATTCAAATTGTGTAGATTTTTATGAAACTACTGGACCCATGATTGTATAAGTATATACCATGTAACACACACACACACACACACACACATATATATATATATATATATATATATATATATATATATT